TAGCATAAATGTAAGGTGTTTGTGTGTGGACTGACAATTATAGTGTTTATAGAGATCTCTGTTTGGCATTATTAATGATATATATTGTTATTTCCTTATATTTATTTAAAATTCTCTATAACTTACATTTTTAGATAACATAACATAACATAACATCACGCCTTTTATCCCGAAGGGGTAGGCAGAGGTGCACATTATGCCACTGTACAATGTAACACCCACTTTTCACTATTTATGTTACGAGTCCCATGTAATAGGGGGTGAGCCTATTGCCATATACCGGGCACCATTCCAGACTCCGTGCTACTACTGAGTTTTTTTTGCCCGACCCGGGAATCGAACCCGAGACCCCTTGCTCGGCAGTCGCACTTGCGACCACTCGGCCAACGAGGCAGTCTTACAAACTACTTACAAAATAAAAAATAATATTTAAAAATATAAAAAACAGGAGCCGACCAGTAGCGGGAGCATGGTCCAAGCTACCGGTGGTTAGGGCTCCAGAGACAAACGATACGTGCCGTTTCAAGGAGAACTGCCTTCTGTATCAGGCCCTTGATCCATCCACCTAACGCCAGCCTCCTGAGATGGATGTCAAGGCTTTTAGGGATTAACCCATTGGCCGACATGAGTATAGGCACAATGATAGCCGAATCCACAATCTACATGTCGACAACCTCGTGAGCTAAGTCTAGATATTTTAATTGTTTATTTTTCTCAGCTTTCACGAGGTTCTCGTCATGGGGAATGGTGACATCAATTATTATTTATATTGTTATTGTTGTTATTGTCACTAATGCTATCTCTTTCAAAGAAACAATTTATACAAAATTTTCTGTAAACAAACCACACCGCGGAAACATCTCCAATCAAATTGGCTAATATCAAACGAAATTCTGCGGGAAACCCAGTCAATTGTAACACGGTAATATAACCCTTATAACTTCGTCAGCTATAAGGCTGATTATCCTGTCAATCAACATTAAATTGCGCATAATTTTGTGAAACCGAAGCTTACTGTATTACGCGAATTGTATTGCCAACTTGAGAATTTAATTCGAAACCAACATTAACTGTAGTAATTAATATAACTAAACTATTGAGGACTCGTGTAGCGGTGAGTTGAACCTGAACCTTTTAAATTGAGATCTCCAACCCAATGGGGGCTAACGTTTTTTTGTCCAATCACAACGGCTGTCAAATATTGAACGTCAAATGATATGACACTGGCTAATTCTCTATTGGACGAAGAATGAGACCTGCACACTAGCGACATCTGGTGAGCAAACATACGGTAGGCCCCATTGCCAAGTGTGGGGATTTTGGTTAGCTTTGTTATGTATAGGAGGCTCATAGTTTAGTAGTACACTGTCATTGACAGGTGATAACGATGGAGATGGTAAGTCAGTAAGTGGTTTCTTCAGTCACTGATTCTTTCTAAACTATGCCTCGTTATTTAGACATGAATTTAGAAACAATGAAAGATATGTCTAACTTGTTTGTTTAGTGACTACCTCGATGTAGAGACCACGGTTCATCTCCAAGACAGAATCAAGCATAAAGTAAATAAGAATATTCGTATATTTTTAAACGACTTCAAAAAAGGATATTCTCAGTTTGACCCGTATGGATGTATGTCCACAATTATCTCGCGATTGGCTGAACAGATTTTGATGCGGTTTCTTGAAAAGTGTTTGATTCATTTAGGAGAGGTTTGAGTATACTAATTAACCAACTTCAAAGAAGGAGGAGGTTGACATCAGTTTTTTATAACGTAGTTTATAGAAGAATTATTTAAAATATTAACGCATAGCCTAAATTAGCACCAATAACCTATCGTTAAGCTCACTACCTACACACATTTTAACTGGAAATAAGAAATATAATAAACATAAAAAATAACTGTTATCTGAAACAAATCTGTAAACCCCCTTAACAAACAAAAGGTATGACATCACATATATGATCGAAAGCTGACGATACTCGCTACCAATCTCAGCTGTTGACTGTTCACCCAAATTTAGCTAGGCAGACTAATTAACCCTTATGTAAATGTAAATAAAGGCGAGACTGCCATTAACTGAGCATGTAAACACACCCACATTACTCAACTAGACTCTTTTTGTATTAGTCTGGTCACTAAATGAACTAGATCTAAGCTAGACTTCTAGGTTACCTACTAAAATTACCTCATAAGTCATAGCTGAAGTAATAAACCAAATTAAAATCAGGTCGTTTAATAATTCTTTAAAATATTCCAAAAAATACATAGTCAATGTCAGTTCAACTATGCCAAGGAATACAATTTATTTCAAATACGAATGTGAATATATTTATTTATTCTTTTATGTACACAAATTTATTATGGCATATAAGGTGAACTTAATGCCATACGGCATTCTCTACCAGTCAACCTTAGGGTTTAAGTTGAAAATCTGCGAAAAATAAGGTACAGAGAATAAACTAACAGCAAAGAGAGAAAGAAAAAAAAGGTAAATATTAAATAATATAGCCATACATATATGAAAACCTTTTTTCTAAGTCAAACACTGAAAATTCACTTATGGTCACTAAGACAATTGTTAATTTTATTTTTACTAAAAAGTTAGTAATTCATGTTTAGTTTAGTAGTTTTGTAATTACTTAAAAAAATGTGATAGACATGAAAATCACACTAATATTATATATGTCAATTTCATTGTCTGTCTATCATGCTGAAACTACTTTGATGAAGTATACAGGCAGGGTTTTTTTTAAGGGGGGAAAATCATCGAATGACTGCTCCCGCCTGGGTGAAGCGGGAGGGAGTATCAGACTGTTACTGACTAAAAACCACCCCGTTCCTTCTCCTGCATGTCGAGCCGGAGCCCCGGTTACCCGTTAGGTTCTCCGCGACATACAATGGGCTGACTTAGGTGATAGAATACTTTTTATCCCGATTAAATGCTCCCAGGGGATAAAACAAAAATCATATTTTACACGGACGAAGTCTCGAACAACAGCTAGTATAAAATAAAATAATATATAAACCGTATTTAAAAAGGTACGTTATACATTTCAACGTTAAACTGAATGTTTTGAAAACGTTTATTTTTAAGGTACACGTTTGCAATTTAATTATACTTTAATTAGCCAAAGAATTAAAAACAAATATTTTACCTCTCTGTTTAATTTTCTCATTTTCAATTTTAATTACAACAAGATTTTTCTGGAATACATTTTAAATAAAAAAAATACTCATTAAAAACAAGTCTTATTCTTTTTCTAACACCTATGCAGAAAATCCATATTATGACTTTACAGTTTCAACAAAGAAACCTATCATTTCCACTAAATTAATAAAAAAATTGATTCCAAAACACAACTTAAGAAGTGAGCAACCTCAGATTTACAATTTTATTAATTACTCTGAAAATATACACACATACATACATACAGCCATCCTGTTTAGCCTTTCAAATAAATACCGTTTACGCTTCAAAAACAAAACAGAATTGACTATAAACCTTATTAAAATTTAATAACATCGATTCAACTGACTTCGCTTTTCATATAAAGCAGTTTTAATTTAAAATAAAATGAAACGAATGTCAAATGGACGTCCACAGACAATAGAGGTTCTGTCGGACCGGAAGAAAGGCCATCTTTGAAACGGATATTGAATTCAATATACTAATTAGTTTTCATTCCTGTATTTATTTTTCTCCATTCATATATTTGCTCTTTTATTTATCAAGGTTATACGATCTCCTATAATATTATTTACAAAACTATTCGATTCAAATGGTTTTCGCGTCAGTGAGAAATAATTACTTTGAAAATGGAGACAATATTAATTCTGATAGACCTTTTTCATTTTTTAACAAGTAGGTATGTATCTGTCTCATTATTATACATCTAATGTAACAGAGGAATTTAAACTTTAAATTCAAAACCATTTAGTTTGAAAATCCCAACAACAGAGTTACACTATATCACCCATTTGCTACACAATTAAGTAGAGAACTTTGTGTTTACGACGACTAGACCAACGAGACGGTCTACAAACACACAACCAAACAAACAGACGGTTATATCAACAGTTAGTATCTTATACACAACACATATACGTCCGAGAAACTCCGAGACTCCATTTTATTACGGATAAAGTCTTAATTGAAAATCCGACTCGACGATAGGATAGTTTACCTTCTGAACAACAATCACTCTTGTCACTTCAACAACGAGAAATCACACAATATCCCACTAACAAAACAATTTATAAAATAATATTTAAAAAAACACTCGAAAAAATAACACACGAAATAAATGAATAAAACACACAATCGATAGACACAAACAGACGATAAATAAAATACATTAAAGAACAAAATAATAAGTATAAAAAACTGACCTTTATTGCGTACACCAAAGAGTGCTACAAAATTTTCTTTAGGAGCCGTTAAAAGTTTAGTAGCAATACTAGTGGGAGTAATAAATATTTCAGTACCAATTCGAGTATATCTTGTGTGGTTTTTATCAAGCAACTGTCAGTTATGTTCGTTATAGTGTCTCTGACGGATAAACCTACACAACGCTATGATAGTCGGATCCGGTGATAAAATAAATAATGCAATATAATGTAATAAATAAATTGATGTGTGTTTTTTTTTTTGTTATCTTTTCGCAATACATGTTTTGGTTGTTGTCGTCTGAATATGATTTTTTAAGTCGTTAATCGGTTTTTTACGAGTTAAAATACGAATTATTCATTTTTTGTTCCTTCTTTTTATAATACCTTAAAATGATGTCAAAGAAATAAGTAACTCGCGCATTTTTATCATCATGTTCTATTCACTTTTAAAAACGTTACGTTTACTCAAATTAATATTTTGTTTAAAACGTACGTAAATTGTCTCCAAAAAAAAAGAAAATCCACGGTCCTGAAAAAATATCCCACAATTCCACGAAAAATAAAATAAAATAGATAATAAAAAATATAAAAAAAAGTAATAAGAACTAACCTTCAACAGCTCTAGCTTCCCTGGAATCGTCGACGATCAACAGGTGGGGACGGCGCGGTCGCTCGAGCCCTTGCTCGGCGGGTGAAGCGGTCGTAGCGACTTGGGGAACGCCCATCGCGGCCGACGGTCTGGGCGCGAATGTGCCTCGGAAACAATCGGGGGCCACCTATACGCAGGTGTGGGCTGCAGTTCGAGGGTTGCGCTTTGTAACTTCGATTGTACAGTCAGCCAACTTATTTTTTTACTTATTAGGCTTCATGCACTTATTGCATAATGGAAAGACTTAATAGTAGGCATTTTCTACCATTCTGACCTTTGAATGATGCAGAGAAAAATAAACGCTGTGTGCACGGAGCAAACTTATAAAGCTGTTTTAACTGCAAAATTTATTTAGTACCTACAGATACTGTAACTATTGTTATACTAAATTGTATGCTTTTAAATGAAGGCGTATATTTTCTAACCTTAGGTATTGGTCGGATCAGTAGCCAGACAATGATTACTGTCGCTGTAGCGAATCAAGATAACTTTGTGGACTGTACCTGCCTGACAGCTACACGATCATGTCGCTTATTGCGTAGTTACTAAACCCCATTTTTCTTTATTCGGAAAATGTTGTGTATCGATGATAATACGGGGAATTGTTTTTCAAGGTCATCAGCCAATTTAATGTTTTGTTGTAGTATCTTGAATTTTGCACGTGTACTTTAATTTTGCGCGTGTCCTCCTTAATTATTGGGTAATCTTTCAATGTATGGAGATTGATTTGCAATATTTTGGGCGTATTTTTAAAAGCCCTATTCTGTATTTATTGTGAAGATCTTATTGTTTGTTATTTTAACTGTTATAGATATGAAGTTTGATTTCAGATATTAATTAGTAACTGATCTTTGATTACTAAGTAGGTATTTCTGATTTTTTTAAATAACGGTAAGTATTAAGTTATACTTTTTTAAACTACCCTCACTAGAATTTTCTCCTGTGTTGTGGGTGCGTTTACAGACATACAAGTTCACATACTCATGACACCTAGACCCGGAACAACAATATATGTATTACAAAAAGAGTTGCTCCGTACGGGAATCGGACCCACGACACGTTGCGCGGCAGCCGGTTGCCCAGCCACCGCACCAACCGCCTTGTGATTTATTTATTTATTTCAATTAAATAATATAACATTACAGTCATAAAACCAAGGCGTATGATATCTGTGTACTTGTGGATGTGTCTCACAATAATATTATATAGATCTCATGCTTTTTCCACAGAATAAAGAGAGAGAAGTTTCGGAAGACTAGCTTCTTGATTGTCATACTGATATTTATTTCTTTTAGTAACAAAATATACCATGTCAATGTGAACCTTTCAACCGTTCAAGGTTACGACTTTGACTTTACCGTTTTTTAGTTTTCTTAGTTTTCTTTACATGTCTAAATTTTCTTATAAGTTTTATAAACATGCAATTAAACATGGTGGAGTATAATACAAAGCTTTTATAAATAATTTACAAGTAATTTTACATTTTGACAAATAACTGAAATTACATAGGGCCACTTTGCTCTTTAAATTATTAAATAAGGAGTAATGACCTTGGTTTCAAATCGACGCCACATAATTGTAGAAAAGAATAACGTTTTAAAGAAATCTTTTTTTAAATATTGAAGTATAAGGACTGAAATAAGTTTTTATTTACATACACATGTACGCCAATGGGGTAGGCAGAGACTATGGAACGCCAAATGCTAAGTTTCGCACATACCTCTTCTCGTTTTTAATTTTTAGTTTGTAAATCGGTGACCAAACTTAATAGAATTAGTTTTAATACTTTATCAATAGTTTATTAGTCCTTCATGTACTTATAGTTGTGTTTTTATAATAACTATCGTGAGACATACTAAATTAACTAAAATCGCAGGTTGCTCACGTGAATATACTGAGACCGCGCGCGCTCATGATGAAGAACCTCTATGTGGTTCGAAACTAGTAGAGCTTTTCTCAGTATGTTCACGTGAGTAACCCGCAATTTTAGTTAATTTAATTATAGTTGGTTCAAGGTTACGTAACTTTTCATGGTACAGGGTGAAATAAAACAATCGGATCACCTGATCGTAAACAATCGGGCGCTGCCAATAGACACCCGCAATACCAGAGGAATCACAAGTGCATCGCCAAGTCAAGCCAAGCCCTTTTGGGCTTATGGATTTGGAGATTGCTTCTGTGATGTACGTCGAAATCATCTCTTTATTATTTACTTTATGAATCGAATCTGCCTCCTTGACAATTCCGTCAGGGACGACTGCCTTACTGGCCGAGCGGTCGAAAGTGCGACTACCGAGCAAGGAGTCTTGGGTTCAATTCCCAACTCGGGAATCGACTTCAATAGTAGGACGGAGTTCGGAATTATGCCCGGTATATGGCAATAGGCTCACCCGCTATTACATGACTCACGAAATCAATAGTGAAAAGTGAGTGTAATATTGTACAATGGCATTAACTGCCGTAATGTGCACCTCTGCCTACCCCTTCGATGATAGAAGGGTTGGTTTTATATTATGTAGTCTAGCTACTATTTAACTATGATTTTCCTTACAAAACTAGTTATACCACAACTACAGATCCACCCTTCAGGGAGTACCAAACATGTTGCTACGGTACGTTATGTTATTGAACGAACTATTATAAAATATAATATAATTTAAACATACTAACTAGACACGTAACAGCCGTCTCAAGGTCATTTAAATATTAAATAGCTGTTAAACAAGAGTTTTTTTATGTAAATTTATGGACCTTGATAAACCGGGCGCTGAGTCTATGCGATCCCCAGTATATTGACGACGAATTTCACCACTTAAAACGGGTACTGGAAAACAATGGATACAACTGGCGTCAATGTACTCGACTTGCGAGCAGCTCGAGTAGGAAGCGACCGGCAGTTGCGGAACGTACTCCAGCGTTCTTACCATACGTGAAAGGAGTAACCGACAGAATCGGACACCTGCTTCGCCGTAAATACTGCATCAGGACGATCTTCCGCCCACCCGGTCAGCTAAGACAACTACTACGCTCACCTAAAGATAAGGATCCACTGGCTGTACCCGGAGTGTACATAATACCGTGCGACTGTGGCTCGAGTTACATCGGGGAAACTCGTCGCAACATCACAACCAGGCTAAAGGAACATATATGCAGCGTGAAGAAGATGGACATCCAGGCATCGGCAGTGGCTGAACATGTTTGTGGTACGGACGCGGCTCACTTCATACGTTTTGATAAGGTCTCCGTACTAGCGAGAGAAAAATACTTCGTTCCGCGAAAAGTGCGAGAGGCCATCGAGATCAGCCGACGACCGTGCTTCAACAGGGATGGTGGCTGGGCACTGCCACCCGCGTGGAAGCCGAGCTTGGAGTCTTCGTCGATCCACAGCGTCTCCAGTCTGGAGTGTGACACAGTAAGCGTTATATGCAACACTGACTTTGTGCCGAACCCGGAATCGAACCCACGACCCGCGCCGCTGGTGAACGTACCGTGCGCTTTAGCTTCGTCCAACGCGCTGCCGGAGTTGGAAGCAAACGCTCGTAGTGTCCGACAGAGGGCGCGTTGGGCTCGCAGCGCAGGTGGCAACACCGAGGCGAGCGCCAACGCCAGCCAGTGAGCTGCGCGACGTCGCCGCGACCGCGCACGCTGCTCATGAGGAAGAACCCCTCTGTGGTTCGAAACTAGTAGAGCTTTTCTCAGTATATTCACATGAGTAACCCGCGTTTTTACTTAAATTTAATGTTAAAACAATTTTGGATATAAATTCTAACATACCAATACATTTTTTTTATAGCATAAGCCGTTAAACGAGCAGACAGATCACCTGATGGTAAGCAATATCGGAGTTGCTCATGGAACCTGGAACACCAGAGGCGTTACAAGTGCGTTACCGGCCTTTGGGGATTAGGAGTTTGAGGATCGTTGGGGATTCAGGAATTGCGGAGATTGGAGAAGGGGAGGGTAATTGGGCCTCCGGTAACCTCACTCACACGACGAAACACAACGCAAGCGTTGCTTCACGTCGGTTTTCTGTGAAGCCGTGGCATCACTCCGGTCGAGCCGGCCCATTCGTGCCGAAGCATGGCTCTCCCACACTTAATCATCATAAATACAAACTTAAAAACATCAACATGTACATCTTGACTTGCTATTGAGAGGTCAGCAGATTTGAAACTTGTAGTCTGTAGTAGGTACACTCCTTTGTGTCCATTTATGTAATTTTTGAATTAAATAAACAACCAATAAGTGCCCACTGCTGGGCGAAGCCTCTTCTAACATGGAGAAGTTTTGAGCATTAATCACCAGTAGCCCGGAGGTTTATAACACCCGCTTCTCATGTATGAGAATCGGAATTCGAAACTTATCAACGTCAAGTACCAATGTGACTTTTTTCCCGTCGGTACACACACACACGGGTAACGAAGGTCTGTAAATAACGTGAAGAAACATGAACACAAACTTATAACTTCTAATTGTAGTGGCTTTCTCACACTTAAAATAATGATAGATTAGTATGAATTAACCTGCTGGATGTGTAAAATAATCAAATGTCACTTAACAACTTCTCCTTACACGTGTCGCGTAAATTGTTGTAGTATACTTATAACCTTTTAGCGCCCACTGAGTGCAAGATAAGTTCAATTAAGCCGTAATGTATCTGAGAATTACGTATCGAGTGCACTTTGAGGCTTGAATATTAAACAGCTATGTGGGTTATTGTTTATTCAATTAGTTTTGCTCTGTTAAAAGCTTGAATACGGAAAGGTGTAATTCTATTGTTTTTGTATTTTCTACACCACTGTATACTATTATATCTCTTGTATGTAAAAATGTCTCTGCAATAAACCAGATTTGATCTCATATATTTGTAATATTTTTATGGTAATTTGTATAAAATTATTCATGTTTTCATCCCATAGGCTTGGGAATTTTTAAAAAAGTAAAACAGCAAACAGACAATTTCACGATTCAGAGTCAAACTTGAGTCCACCTGCTCACCAGTGAAATTTATTACGACCAGTAAGGAAATAAGTTACCTGTAGAAATAAAAATGAATTTCCGTTTATTAGTCTCTCTAAAACTCAAGAACGGTCGAACCGATTTGGCTAATTTTGGT